TCCTTAACAATGGTATGTGGTTTTGGTCTAATACAGTTCAAATCATTGCAGCTCTCTACAGTTATGTAATGCAGAAGTGAGGTGAAACATTCAAGGATGTTAACTCAAACTGTGAGTATATATAGGGTTTTGCTTATCTGTATGATTGTATAAACAAATTTTAATTTACTAACCTTGTGCAGTTAAAATGTAAATAAAAATACCAATAGGTACATAAGCTGAATTGGATGGTATCAGCTGAGCTGTCCATGGGATAGCCTCCAGAGGCTATGGCAGTACCATTTTTTTAATCAAAAAAAACCCAGCAACCGAGAAAGATTGGTGCTGACATTCTTCTGTCTATATGGGTTGGAGGGATAAGAAAACCCACCTAGGGCTTAAAATTTCAGTTGTACTAAGTTATTATTCCTTCCTGTACCTATTTTGTCTGATGAGGTAAAGTCATGGAAAGGTAAGACCAAACAGCAGTGCCTTACAGCAGGCATGGGTGAACCTAGGGCGAGACCAAGCGCTCTCTAGTGCTTGCTGGCAGAGTAACACCATTTATGGCAAGTTTTTGTGTCTTAGGATGTTAAACATACAAGTCTTATGCTGAGGCAGGAGTATATCAGGTAAAAGTAATATGAAATTCTGTGAAGTCTTTTCAGAGTTTTTCTTTTTAATGTTGCTATGGGTTGTTTACTCTGGGAAAAAGTTACAGTGCTGTGTAGCCCAGAAGAAGACTGTTGTCTAATGTAGTTATGTAAACAGATTGAAATGCATTGGTTTATTTTATGGCAAGTGAGCAAGCTATTGCTTTGCCTTGGTGTTTTCTTCCCATTTTGAAGCTTTGCAACAGGGAGTCAGCAGTAAACTCTGAAAATTTCACTAGTACTTTAAATGCTGATCCTTCACTGGGATCCATTATTGCAGTCTGTGTACATGCCTTTATGTTAGCAGGTTTTAATAAAAGATACAGACTTTGTGATTGTTTTTGTGGCCTGACTAAATTAGATGCTATGTTTTGCTAAGGGGAGTTTTTAAAAGGTGGGGAAAAGTTGCTATGTTTGAGTCAAATTAAAGTTTGTTTATCCCCCCCACTCCCTTAAATTAAGATGTCTTTAATCTGTTTGCTTGGTTACGAGCTTCTGTGAAAGCCACACCTACTTTTACATAAGGGTGGGGGTCATAGGGAAGAAGGTGGATTTCAGGTATAATAGTAAGTTATAACATGCCTGGAAATCAGCAGCTATCCCCTTAAACTCTGTAATAATAGTTTTCTATTGCATCTTAATCAACTTTTTAATTTTAGAGCAGAAGGGAAAAATATTTTTTTCTTTCAGTACAGTAACATTTTAGTAAAAACTTATATCTGCTAAAAGAGCTTTTGAAGTCATCTCTATTCCTCCTGGTATGCATTACCTTTTCTAGATTATCTTGCTGCTTAAATGCAAAATTTCTTTCCCAATCTCTGCTTTTTCACTAAGAAGTAATACCTTTAAAAATACTGCAGCAAAGCAGCAATCTCTATTACTTTGGCATGTGCTAATCAGTAGTGTTAGTAGCATCTCCATTCCCGCATAAGAAGAGTGTTAGTATGTCTGATTGTAGACGGATCAACTAGTAGCTATTGAAGAGATGCAACTATAATTATGTGGTTTTATATACTCTTTCTCCAGCACAATTACACTCAAAATAACAAACACCTGCATCTCTTGTCTTTTTGTGACAGACTGAAAAATATCCTGTCCAAGACACAGGAGTACCTAAAGGTAAGTATTGTGAATTCTGTGTATTCAGGTGTCATAGATCTGTGTTGTTAGGTGCAATAAAACCATTGGTGTTATCCAACAGATTGACATACTCTTACTTTTTCCTGGATGTTTGTTTCAAATGTAGTGTCATCTTCTGTATTTTTAAGGTCAGTTTGGTGTATGTATGTGTGTGTATATATATATATATATATGTAAGACTTCTGAAATTTCCTTCAAAAGTTTAGTTTTGATCTAAAAGTCAGTCTAAAACTATCTTCAGAAGATCTTGGTTCTCAATCTGGAAGGAAAATACAGTGGTGCCATCACAAAACAGTGTCCAGAGAACAGATGGTAGAGACATGATAATGTTAGAATGTGGCTTTGAAGAGATTACCAGTGCCTTCAGGTTATCAGAAATATAATCCAGAAATATCTTCCAGGTTTCTTGTCTCTGACTGCATTCTCAGCCCTATAACCAATTAACTCTTCATGCCATCTTTTACCTTTAGTAGGTAGTAATACCATCTACTTGGGAACCTAGTATAGGTCCACTCTGCAGAAGTTCCTGCCTCTCATTAAAAATGGAGTGAGGGAGTGCAGGTTCTGTATTGCACTGAAGTCAGATACTTGGATTACACAGTGTGAATATCCTCTTTATGGTTTCCTTGACATGTGGGGTGGGTTTTTTTGTCATCCCAGGCTTCACCGTTGGCTTTTGTCCAGGGAATGCACTGGCAGGGGCTCAGTTGAGGAGCTCTCTGCAGATAGTGTGTTCTCCATCCTGTGTTGCACAGCAGGTCTGCAGTGGGGACAGACAGGAAACTATGCCAAAGCTAGTCACAATGGAAACTTTTGCTGAGGAGCGTGAGCAATTGTGCTGGTTTTGGCTGGGGTAATTTTCTTCATAGTAGCTAGTAGGGGGCTGTGTTTTGGATTTGTGCTGGAAACAGTGTTGATAACACAGGGATGTTTTAGTCACTGCTGAGCAGTGCTTACACAGAACCAAGGCCTCTTTTGCTTCTCACCCCATCCCACCAGCGAGTAGGCTGGGGGTGCACAAGAAGTTGGGAGGGGACACAGCTGGGACAGCTGACCCCAACTGACCAAAGGGATACTCCATACCATATGACGTCATGCTCAGCATATAAAGCTGGGGGAAGAAGAAGGAAGGGGGGGACATTCGGAGTGTGGCATTTGTCTTCCTAAGTAACTGTTACACATGATGGAGCCCTGCTTTCCTGGAGATGGCTGAATACCTGCCTGCCGATGGGAAGCAGTGAATGAACTCCTTGTTTTGCTTTGCTTGTGTGCGTGGCTTTTGCTTTACCTATTAAAATGTCTTTATCTCAACCCACGAGTTTTTTCACTTTTACTTTTCCGATTATCTCCCCCATCCCACTGTGAGGGGAGTCAGCGAGCGGCTGTGTGGTGCTTAGTTGCCGGCTGGGGTTAAACCACAACAGCAATATACCAGTGGGGTTAAAGAAAGGTTAGAGACTATTTTGGGGGCTTGAGGGAGCCAGCCAGAGGAAACAAGCATCTTCTCAGAAGTGCTGTTCAGTTGGGAAGGAGAATGTGGGATGAAAACTAATCTCAAATCATAAACTACTTTCTGTTTATTTGCAGCCAGGTGGTTTGTTCTTTCAAAATTGTTTATCAACACTAAAGGAATTTCTCTGTAACATTCTTTTCCATGTCCTGTTTTTTATTTCACCCATGACATCAGGTCCCCCTCAAAATTAATTAGATAAATTCCTAAATTTCAAATTTGTCAAAGTTGTTTGAAATCTGAGATTGCATGTTTTAAATGCCTTTAATTTAAAAAGGAAAGCTGAGAGGAAGTAGAAATTTCAGCACTTTCTGTAGAAAGGAAATGAACTTGGTTTATTTTTAATTTTAGTTTCTGCTTCCTCTTGCTAAGTGTAGAAAAATGTAAGTATTAATATAGCTTGACATTTCCCCTTTGGAGTTGAAAGTGATACAAATACCTCTTAATATTCTGTTCATTTCCGTGATTTAAATTTTTTTCTGAGAATGACTTTTTATAACTATTTCTATAAAAATACAGATTTAGAAATACAAATCTGTGAGCTAAAAACTGTGCAGGTCTGATTCTGTGTAACACAAAATTATGTTTGCTTCAGATACAATGTTTGAATAGATGGTACATTGGCCAGGGGCAGGGTGAGGGCTGTTTTGTTGCTTTTATAGGTCAATTAATTAACGGACCATTTTGGGGCCATAACTTATTAAAGTTCTTAGCATCCTCTACCGATTATGAATTAAAGGTGAGTTGAGGGAGCTTTTCATCTTGCAGGACTAGGCTTAATGTTTACATCAGGTTTTGATTATAATTCTACCTCCACTCAGATATAGAACAAATTTCACACATAATGTTTCCACAAAAATGAAATGGAATTTTGATGCCCAAACTCTTTGCCAGACTTCTCTGGATTTCCCCATTTCCCCCACCCCACCCCACCCCCATTGTCTCTGGACCTACAGTCATAAAGAATAAAGATGATCCTTGTTAAATGTTTACCCTGCTGGGGGTGGAAAACTATTTGGCTTTAAGTTTCAACAGTTTTATAAAACCAGAAAAAGAGGAAAATAATATTTTTTTTTTTCTTTCTTGCAAGTGTAAGGATGAATTATTTGATTCGGATCGATTTTTTGAGTGAGATAAGGAAATATGTCTTCTTTCTGTTATCTGATGATTCATAAAGATAATAGCTGTTCTTTAATGAGATCTTACCGCTTAACAAACAGCAAAAGGAAATGTACCAACACTACAAACGTAGTCACCACCATGGAGAGCTCTTGTGTGTAAAAACATGTAGAATATAACCTCTTTTAAACTCATGTTAATGGTGGTCAGTACCTGACCTGGGGGAATTATGCAAATGGTTTGATGATGAGGACCTTATTAATCGTGCAGAGTGAAATTTGTCTGTTTGCACACAAGGTTCACAAAGGGCTTATGCATCCCTTGTACCCCATTTTGAGGGCTGAAGTAAAGCTTGAAAGGTAAATAGAGTTTGTGCTGTACTGGAGAATGTTGTGCTTTTCAGTGGACTCCCAGGGCAGTTGAATGGATTATTTCAGTGCTTCAGAAAACGTCTGTGTAGTGCAGATAAGTAGGACGAGCCTAATTCACAAAGGGGCAGAATAAAAGATAAATATTTGTGTAGTACATATTTCAACAATTATCATTGTAAGTGTGATGAGAAAAGCAAAGCAAAAAGGGATTATATTGACTTGTGACAGTCGTCTTCAGCCTACTTTGATATATTGGTTTGGTTAATGTTCTCTGGTCAGCTTTCTGAAAGAAGAATATGACTCTTGCTTCAAAATAGTATGGTGTTTGTTCAAAACAATTGCTACACCAATATCTGATCTCTGCAAGGATTATTTTTCTTCGCACAGTCATGCTCTGCATGATTGTTGTAGTCTCTGCCAATTTAATATTTTGGGCTTTTAATCCAGCATTTCCCCGTGACTGATCATGATATGGAGTTAAATTTTGTATGCTAGACACCTATAATTTATGTTTGATAGTCTTACTATTTAAATTTGTATTTGGGTGGAAGACCAGTGTTTCACAGTCTTTGTCTTAGATGAGGAATACCTAACAGATCAAGTTACATTGGAAATTGCATCTGTGAACATCAAGACCCTTACGTCAGATTCTGGCCTAATTCAACAGGTAAGAAAAATGATACCTGAATGTGAACTAAGTTATTGCTATTGATTAAATAAGTATGTTAACAAATAAATACATTTTCAGATTATATCTCCAGAATAGTCTCCAGTAATTCTCTGGAATTACTCAATAAAACAGACCAGAAATAGGCTCTCTTTTCAAGAGTTCAATGAAGTGAGCTTTTGTGGAGAAGAGCAAAAGAAAGGTTATTTAATCATTAATGTGTACTTTGTATTTTAAATAGGTTTTCATTAGTGTGTATATGCTCTGAAGAAGAGCTGACAAGAGTTAAGGCTTTGTCATGCATGCTCTCCCTCTTTCATGCTGGAAACAGAGCTAGGGCAGAGAATAAGTGAAGTAGTAAGGAATCCTAGGTTTCGGACTCCTTGTATTTTGCCCTTAGGGAGGCATTTGACTGTTCTGCTTTGACTTTGGGACGCTGCTCTTCCCGTAGTGCAAATACTCTCCACCGTTTGTGAAATCCTACATTGCCATAGGGTGGGCAATGCTGAGTGACCCCCATGCTCCATGGTTACCATCTTTCAAGTGAATGTCATTTGCTGAATTTCAAATTGATTCTCTTTGGGTTGAGCAGAAAACTTGGAGAAGAGAAATGAATGAGCATTTTCCAGCGAGACGAAGAATTAAAAGGAGTTCCTTATGCCAGAGTCCCAGCTGAATTTCATCAGAAACAAACATGGGTTTGGTATGCATTTCACAGATGATGGAGGTAATGGTCTCATTCCCATCATCAAGAAGAGAGCATTTATTGCCAGCTTAGAATCACTATAAAGATATTTCCATGTATTAGGGTGTTAATGGTTCTACAGAGCTGAAAAACTTTCTGCTTATCTTCAGACTCTGCGTAGGTTTATGGCTTTGATTAGACCTGTAGAGGTTGATTAAATTTTAGTTTTGGGCAAAAATATTCTTGCTTAATACCTTCATTTCATGGGCAGTAGCACTACATTGTTTTACTGCAATTACATTACAAGAAAATGATCTTGAATAAACCTGAGTGCAACTGACTTGATAAAAATGGATAATAACTGATCAATAAAAATACAAATTTTGAAAACAGATGTATGGCACAGGTAAGTATCCCTGGGGTTTTTTTTGTACTTGTTGCAGTACTAGCCATTCTTGTTATTTTTTACCATAAGACATGAGTATAATGACATCTCTTAAAGGCATTTAGGTATTAGCTTTCATAATACGGTTTGAACTTTCGTGAATTCATAAGGTCTGGGAAATGTTACTGAAGCTCAGGACAGCAACTTAGCTATTGCAAACGAAGTGAAGAGTATCCACTTTTCCTTTTTACTTTATTTTTTCCTTTTGTTTTTATTTGCTTGTTTGTTTCTTTTGAAACAGATCTCTGGGGAGGCTGAGCTGTGATGGGCAGCTCCTCATTCTCCCAGTGAGTTACCCTTCTGGGGACTTGTTCCTCAGGGCTCAGTAATAAAGTTCTACCTTTTTAAGGAATTTGTGGGAATGGAGACAATGACTATAATCAGGATTTCTAGATTCAATTTTTCTTAAGCTTTGGGTGCTCACATTTTGCCATGAAGGCCAGGTTCATGTTTAAAAAGCTCTGTCCAGAGAAAGCTTACATGGTGCCAGTGGAAAAGTAAACTACTAGGAGGTAATGGCAAGGATTATTCTGTTGCAAGTGGCATATGCAGTGTTAGATCTCTCTTGAGCAGAGAGCAGACGTTTTCTGGGGTGATTTGATGTTGCATGTGTGATCTTGCAGGTTTCAGGGAATAAAGAAATGCTGAAAACAGCATGCAAATTTTTCCTTTGCTAACAAAGTCTTTAAATATTTTGGAGATAATTTACCTTCTTTATAATTGGACTGTGAATGTATGCATGTTCACCACATCAACTGAAACTGCCCATATTCTATTTTTAGTGGATTTCTTAGTAAAGAAGGTGTAGCAGGTAGGAATAGAGTATCTTATTACACTATATTGTTACCCAGTTGACTTGTGTTTGCATGCACAGCCTGCTGTGATAGTTTTGAAAGAATGGCACAATACAAAAAATCAACAATACTTTATTGCAGCTAAGGGGAAAATCCCCTTCTGCTTTTATCTTTAAATCCTCAACAGAAGAAAGCTGTTTCAGCTGGCTCCACAGCTGCATAGTTAAAGGAAGGCAGCTGCAGTTTCCCGCAGTTCTAGGATCAAGGTGCTGTCCTTCCAGTTTTTAGATGTTGCTTTCTACATAGTAGAATTGAAATGTTACAATGTGTGTTGCAGTCTCAAGCTGCTAAGTAATTTCATTATGTTTAATTAGCAGGCAAAAAGCCACTGAGGGAATGTTTACTTCAAACAGGAGGAGGGTTAAACGTGAACCAGCAGAAATGTTCAAGTCTACCTGTTGTCTAGAAAAGTTTCCTATGTATGTAAAAAAATTTGTAAAAAAAGCTCCTCCACTTTTCCTAGATCAATGAAACAATCCCTTACTGCTGCATGTTACAGGCAAAATTCTCGTCTTTTTCATTGCAAAGCATTTAAAAAATCTTTTTAATCAAGCCATATGAATTGTTGAACAGCTGTTGAGGGATTAAGAACAAATTATTCAACAGATGTAACCCCATAGCATATCATTAATAAAGATGACATTGTTCAGTGGATACAACCAACAGGGCAGTTTTGTGAGCCAAAGCAGAAAAGTGCTGCCTGAAAAGACTGCAGATTGTCAGTAATTCCTCAAAACCAGATATATTCCCTGTCTGACTTTACAAGTAGCTCGGGATTCTTCTAAGTAATCTCCTGTCACTTTTAAATTAACCAAATAGTTATTTTAGATGTTCAAATACATTGTTTTGATTTATATTTGTTTTCTGCTTCGTAGCCAGAAGACAGAAACACGCAAAACCATAATGACGAATCACTTTCAGGTAATATGTCAGCTTTACTGTCCTACATATTTTATTCCTAGATTTTTTTTGAAAGTACTTTATTAAAAACTGCTATTTGTCATAACCAAGAACTGCCTGGGTAGTCAATGCTTGTGGAGCTCATTTCATTACCAGTGTCATTTACGGTTTCCTCTTTATTCTAAACGGGGTGGTGATCAGTAATGCAGACCATACAAAATGTGTAAGTCCCATAATTGTATGAGCTCAGCTGGGGGTGGGGTGTGTGTGGATGGTATACGGCCCTGTTAATCTAACAGCGAACAACTGAGGATTTCCTGTTAGTAAAGAAGCTTGTCCTATCACGTAGCATTAGGATCATGCAGTTAGGTGGGTAGGTCATCATTTGCTCATCAGTATCTAACACCAGGCATCTTAGAAAAGCAGGATTCTTTATAATGCTTTTGATAGTCTGCGCACAGTATAGCACAAGAAGCAGGTTGGTTTAGTTTTGTTTACCTATAACTGTGCCCTGTGTTTTCTTTAACCCTTCTTTCCTGCTTCTATTGGAGGATAAAAATTACTCTGGCATCCTTGCAAAGCAAAATAAGATGAAATTCAGATAGGGTGCTCTCCTGCCCTTTGAGCTCAGCCAGAACTTTGATTGGATTACATTCATTTTGCCTTGTTTGTATAACTAAATCTTGGTATAAGTGAAGCAAGCAAATTTTGTCTCACTTCAGCAAGAGTTTAGGGTGCACAAGAAGAACAGAATGGTTCACATACGTATTTCTGTAGAGAACAGCTGCAAGGCCTGTGGAATACCTGTGAGCAAAGATGTCACCAGAACATGTTTTGCCTTAAGAGGGAATCTAAGCATTTGTATGAAGTTATGTGTCTGCAGCAGTGTTGTTGCTGCACGTCCTAACTTGTTGAAAACTTCAGAAGTTGTCTTTGGCCTGCTAAAAAAGCAAGCCAATGAGCAACGTTAGAAAAAGAACAATAGCCTGTTCTTCCCTTAAAAACACAAAACCAAGTGCATGCAGAAGCTACATTCAGCTGAGTTGCTTTTATCAACACTAATATTCAGAATAAAAAAACCACAATTTGGCGGTCTTTCTGGAATTTTCACACAATCTGACAATAATTACTGCAAATGGGGAAAAAAAAAAAACAACCCAAACAAAAAAAACCTTAACGTGTTGTCTATATGAGTAGGTGGCACTGAGTACCAGATTTGCCCTTTGCCGGAGATACAGTTCAGGTCTTTTAGACCAGCACTGATCCAGCACTTGCAAATTGTGTGTCACTGTTTTCTGTTGTTGTTTTTAATCACTCTTGATTAATATTAGTTTTCTTATTGTAATGTCCCTTTTTCAGAGTTTCATCCCAAGCAGGACCAGTCACTTCCCTATTTCAAGCTGTACAATGAGGCTGGAGGGCAGAAGCTTTAGAAAGTGCTTCTAGGCTGCGTCTATTATCTATTGCTCTTCAGACATACCAAATTCTCCCTGCCTTCAGAAAGGAGCAGGGAGAGTTCAGGTCATATCTGCAGCCAAAATGCTCAAACGATGCCCTACACCACTGCAATGTTAAAGGTCTTAGTATGAGTATTATCTGGAAGTATGACTAGAACTGGTTTCTACATGCTTTTACATGTTATTAATATCTAATATAGTCTGATAGCACCGCATTGTTCACAATGCTGGGGAGATATTGACTGTTGTGTGTGGGAGACCTCTAAATGGCAATTTTCAGTATTCAATGCAGATTTTAGAACATATCACCATCTACTTCCAGCAACTTGGTATTTTTGTTTTTCTCACACATGGAGGAGTATGCACTTTATTCCTTTCCATAATGTACATTTAAAATAGGCTTGCTTGGTAGATCAGGGACAGCTTTTATTGTAAGAGCCCTTACAAAGCAAAGGAACATTTGCACTTTTTCATTGTGTTAAAATACTAGATGTTAGTTGTGTTTGCAGCTGTCAGCAGAGATTCTCCTGATGCAAATATTTCGTGTTGTTATGAAGGCAGCAGCTCAGAATTGCAAAACCTTTTCCTTCATCCTACAACACATGTATACAAGATGCACATAACACACACATAATCCTGTTGGTGATGTAAGCAGGGGTTATGGCAGACTCAAGGAAGCAACGTAGTTCCCCAAAACAAGAAAGGGGAATATCCCAGCTTACACACTGGGTTGAATTGCATGTCTTTTCTATGAAAGTATAAATATGGTACTTTCAAAATTACTGTCCTTTTGATTACAGCCACTGAGCGTAGTGAAGAGAGAAGTTTTAGAAAGTTAATTTAATGAGTACTTCATAAGGAAAGGCATTACATGTCACTATTCTGACTTTTTCGGAAACGATTCACAGGAACTTAATACTTTTCAACCCTTTGTGCTTTTAACTTTTTGTTTGCGGTGAAACCACAGCAATAGATCCTAACTTCTCCCCATGTAATGGTTTTCACTGCAGATCTCAAGAAAACCTGCAAGGAAAATGGCACCTGCTCCTTGTGCTTATTCCGTGCACCGACCATCAGTGACATGCTCAATGATGAGGACTTGTTGTACACAGTGAGGCTAAAGCTGGATCCCTGCCACCCAACAGTGAAAAACTGGAGAAATTTAGCAAGCAAGTGGGGGATGACTTATGATGAATTGTGTTTCCTTGAACAGAAGCCCCAAAGTCCCACCTTGGAGTTCTTGCTACGGAATAGTGACAGGACTGTGGAGCAGCTGATTGATCTCTGTAAATTTTATAAGAGAATTGATGTTGTGAAAGTGCTGCTGAAATGGGTGGAGGAGGAATGGCCCAAGAGAGGGAACAGAACTTACCAGAATGACTTCTAGGTCAAAGAAAGTTGTTAGTCTGTACATGTTAAATGCTGGGACTAGTTGCCACTACTACATGGGAAGTTTCCCTTGCAAGAGAGAGCGAGCCTGTACTGACGGTTTGTATACTGTGTAAGCTTTAGGTACTGTATACACATATATAATGCTCTGTGCCCTCAGGGTTGCAAAGATAACCTTCCAAAAATGGATGGAATAATGCAGGTTGTGTTCTTCAGTCTACAGATGCCTTCAGTTTCTTTGCTGCTATTTGTAGGCTTCCTAAGCAGAAGAGGAATGAAAAAGCCAGACCACTGGTTTTACTGCAGCAGTTGTGAACCATGTCAGTTGTGTGCTGTTGCTATTGGGAAAGCCACAATTAGAAGGCAAGTCTCTTGGCCTTTCTAGCAGCCCTTCCACAGTTTTATATGTTCTACCTAGTAGAAGATGAGGGGTTTTTTTTCTACCTTTTATTGTTTTGTTTTTGTTTGGTTTGGGTTTTTTCAAGCTTTATGATACTGTTTTTGGCACAGGAACACCTCAGTGTTCCAAGCAGCAGTTTGGATTTGAATGTTACAATTAACTCAATGTTTCAACATCACATTCAGGCAAATTAAGCTTTAAATCTCTTTTGTAAACAAGAGTAGATGTTAAACAAAATAATTATTTCCATACTTCTACATCATAGGGCATATATTTGCTATAGAAGAAATCATGCAATTCAGAGAGACTTTCCAGCCCATAACTACTAGGGACCAAAAAAACTAATTAAAATGCTTTATACTTAAAATGACTTTCCAAAGTTTTGAAGACAATATATGCTCTGAGTGCACTTATCTGTTTATCTCAAATGCCTCTCACTTTGCAGTGTGAGGTGACAGCTAACGCCTCACCCACAGTATATCCTTAGTATTGAGTATAACTTCCCTTCTCACAGGCTGTGGTTTTCTTTACAGTCCTGTGGGTTGACCTACTTTTTGTCCCACACCAAAGTAGTTGCACACTTGTGTGAAACTAGCACAAGTCTATGTGTTGATTAAAGCCACTGTAATGGGAAATTAACAGGTGAATTCATCTACAGTCCAGGTGGATGGTTATTAAAGCACTTATGGTGGTTTAGACTGATGTTTCTCAAAGAATTTTGATACTCTGAATTACACTGTTTACATTTTAAATATTTTAGAAATTGGTCTTTTTCCTACCATTCTTCTGTGTTCTAATGTTTTTAAAAAAAACCTGAAAAATCAGTTATACAATACGATGTATAAAGTACTTATAGCTATAATGCCACACACAAAAATGTTGTGACTCAAAAATACTTCTAGTTGTTACCCTTACTAAAAGCATCTCAGACAATACTAATATGTACATAGGTGTATATACCAAAGCACTGGTGAACAGTATGTCAAGATGTGGGGCAAAACTAGAATGGGCTACAGGTTGATGCACTGTTTACTTTTCTTGACGAGAAATGACTAGGAATTAGTAACAAAGCTGAGCGAAATCTAATGCTGTATACTGAGTTTCTTACTGTAAAAGAATGAAAAGTGACCTCTAGTAATACTATACTATAGATACTGAGCTATATGGTTACAGAGCAGCTAGAAGTAAAGACTAACATTTTCAATGTCAGGCACTAGTTCTGCGGTAATGTAAATTAGCTTTATTTTAGTGACTTTAAGAAGCTGAAGAATACTAGTTTCAAGGTGAAAAGACTGACCTAAATTTGAAGTTTTAATGTTTTCTTTTTTTTAAAAGCTTGTAGAAGACTGGAATTTTTATTAACTTTTTTTTTAACCATTCCTCAAAAAAGCTGCTACTCTTTAGAACAGTATGTTTTCTAGCCATGTTTTAAAGAGGAAATTGTACTGCTTTATCTTGTTGGGGCTGCAGTTCAAATGTTTCATGTTTGTCTTCTAGGAACAGGGGTTTCCCAATAGGTGTCTGTCAACTCTAACTTTTGCAAATAATCTTCTGTCTTTAGTTAGGAGTTCTAGAATCAGTTTTGAGGACTACTGCTGTGGCTGGGCTGACTGCTATTTTCAATTCCTACGGAGGCATCCACTGCGTACGTGCAAATAGCTCATAATGCAGCTTGTCCAACATAATCCCCATACCTTGGGCCTACTATATGCATGATTTAGGATCACGTGCCTGTGTGTTAAGTTGTTCTTCTGAGTGATGAGTGCTGGCATGTATGCCAACAGCTTTTCTTTCCCATAACATACCACAGCTAGATGTGTGTGGTATTATGGTATGCTCTGCTTTGGTAGATCCAGTCCAGCAAGGAGCTGGAGCCCTCACCTAAGACTCACAATGGGAACATGAAATGGTGAGCAGCATTTCTCAACCAAGATGTTCAACTGAAATCTACCCCTTTCCCTGTTTCTGGCTAAAACTTTTTGAAGAAACACTGCTGTCTTGTGGAAATGAGTTCTGATCCCTTGAAGCTCTTGAAAACTCAATGTCACCTGCAAGGATATGTGTCTGATGGAAATAAAGCTGCTTCTGAGAGTTCATATGTGGATTCTGTATAAATTCATCACTGAAGGTTGAAAATGTTAGCCTTAAACTTCATCACACACTGGATTATTCATTAGTATACTTGAAATATTTTCTTCCTCTTTGTATGGCATGAATTGAGATGTACACACTTTTTTTAGTTTTGTATCTGTTTGCAAGATATTGGGTCTGAATGTTCAGTTTATTCTTATATCTTCTGTCATAATGTATACTATTTTTAGAAGAAATATAGATTGTCAATGTTTGACTTTATTGTATTTGTTTTTATTACAGCTAGGAAAACAGCTGTTTTCCTTCTCATCAGTCACCTTGGAACTACTGAACTAGCAATTAGTTGTGCTGTGTTTAAAAAAAAAAAAAATCTTATATACAAGATTCATGGCGTCTTAAAGCACCTATGTTTGCAACAGATACTGCTGTTCAAGAAAGGAAGGTGCACTTTTTTTATCTTTTCCCTATGAAAAATAAGTTAATTTTGATAAGATGATGAACAAAGATGTTTATCTAGAAACTTGCAGTGAAGTTACTAACTACAGAGAGGTATGAAACCTACACTGGGTGAACTCTTCCTGAATTAAAAACCGATCTGATAATGAAGGTTAGAGAATCACATGGACACTGAAAAGGCTCTACTAGGCTATCAGTTTTGTTCCATTATATCTTTCTCATATTCCCATATGAGACTCGCTCTCCCTTCAGGGATTTCCAGTTCCTTGGCTGCCATCTCTGTGCCTGCAGGATAATCAGTGGCCCTTCCCACCTGCTTTAGCATATATGAAGATGTCCAAACCACTATATTTTTTCATTCCTGCAGCTTTATCTAAGACATGGTGAGCCTAATAACTGTTCTTCAACAGCAAGGTACAGTCCTGTGCTCCAGCAGCCCCTAGTTTTGCTGTGAGGTCGACTATGGGGCATCCCCAACAAAATGGTGACAGTATCCAGTTGCCTTACTCGCTGCATGCCCTTCCCTTCGATCTGTGGAGAGGAGTGCAAGATGGGTTTGGGGCTGTCCTTTGGAAGCCCACCATAAAGGACAGGGTAGTCAGCATGGCCCCAGGTGCTTGCTTGGAAGTAAGTTGACCAGAAACTGTAAACTATACTTCTTCCTGAATCACTACTGAATAATGGAGTGCTGCAGCTCAGTGTGGGCAATGGTTCATGTAAGAGACTGACTATTTTTCACTGTCTCAAACTGACTGCCTCCCACAGTTCCAAGACAAGCTGTTAGCAAGTGGAAAAAAATGTAAATTCTGCCTTATGGTGGTTTAAGTTAGGGTAACACTGCTGACTTGTGGCCAGACATAACTGGAAATTATTTGTTAGACAGCAGAATTGTTTAAACAAGCTCAAAGAAAGTGCATGGCATTTATAATAATGTAAAGAGCAGCCTACTTCTGTAATTTTTGCAGCATATAATGTTCTATGATTCTATGAAGGAAAAGCAATTAGTTATTTGAACTAATTTCAATATATCTTGTAAGTCTTAAGTTTTGGGTCAGTTTTGGACAGTAGGGCAGAGCGGCATAAAATGAGGACTTGGGCTTGTTGCCTGTTTTAACAGAAAAGTGCTTTTCCTTGCCCTTGAGCTCAGCTAGTCCTGATGGCATGGCTATGGTCAGTTGTTAGCCTTAGCTGGGTAGGGAAGGTATGGATCTACTAGTCAGATAGGCTGAATATGAGCAGCGCTAAGAAGAATTTATTTGGAAAGGTGGAGTCTGTAGCATTTGTAAGCCTGTACCTTGGCCAAGGACTGGGACTGACTCCATCTTACGAGAAACTGATGGCAGAGAGGAGTTGACAGACTTGGGAAAGGCTTGCCTGTACCCCCTGTTGGGGAGGCAATTAAACAACCAGGCAAACTTACTAGTTGGTTTGATCTCTGTATTTTACCTTTGTAAAATGGTGATTCTTGATTTCAAAGGCAGGTCGTTGGGGTAAATGTATATTTGTTATGGTGGTAATGAGAGTCGCATGAGAATCTTAAATGTGAGAAAGATAAAGCAGTGCAAGTCTTGTTACGATGGGATCAGCAAGGTTGGCTTTGGCCTTTTTGGACTCTGACATGAAAGAGTATTGGTGCTGTTGGGTTTGTTCAGGCTTTGTTTATTGGCCTTCACAGTGCTATGAAGATGAGGATTAAAACTAGAGAAGAGATGAGAAAGAAGTAGCTTCTGTCAGAAATAATTAGTGAGAAATAATATCTATGGTGTTAACTTTCTCTTTTCTCTGATATATGTACAGAAATAGTTTCCTTGACTGAAAAATCTTAGTTATTTACAGCTACATCTTTCAACCTTTTTTGAGAAAATTCCAGAAACAAGACCAAATGCATTAGTAACTTGGAGAATAAATGTGTTCTGTGTATCTGTGTACAGCAGGAGATAGATATGCAACTTTAAGTATCCACACAAAGGTGCTTTTTTTTTTTTTTTATTATGAGTTTGCTTCAAAATTACCCAATATTTAGTTTGGGAATGCTTTTTGTCTCCAAAAATAACCAAAGTTTCAAGTTGTTGATGACATAAAACACATTTACACAACTAAAAATTTCTTAACAGGAAGAGCCAGGATAAGAATAAGAAAGGGGCACCCAAGTCCTTACCTAGCAGGACCT